ATTAAACGTCCATTCTGGTAATTGAAGAACAACCTCAAAAGGAGGTTTTAACCTTTTATCCACATTATCTACTAAATTAAGCAAGCGCATTTGACTTTAGGCTTTTTCTTGGAGACAATGTTGGTTTTACAAAAATGTTTATTCTTTTTCCCATATCGCTGCTGATTACCTTTTCCTGTGCACCTGGAGTATGTCAATTTAGTAATTCTCCCTGAACAGTGATGAATAGATAGAGAACGGTTTTAGAAGTTCTCGACTGGTTAGTTTACTTTACATAACAATCGCTTTGCCGAAAGCCCTCACGCTTTCTCTTGTGAAAACTTACCTTGTGCAACGATAAACTAGTTTATCTTTCTCGGAATTCGACTGCTTTCTCTGGTCTTGAGGTATGTTTCATTTGTTTTGTTTTGTTCAATTCTTTTTTTAAGTTTTTTTTTAGGGTTTTACAATTTATCTTTTGTTAGTTGCGTGTGTAAATTGGGAAAGAATCAAGAAATACATCTGCTTCAGCACTTATTCTCTTCTGTCCTTTTTATTAAGGAAAAAAGGTAAACAAACATTACCGAAAATATATCAGACCAGAGAACACTACATTATTCACTGATAATAAAAATAAAAACAACTTATTTTCATTTATAGAACATTTATATCATGAGAAAATTTTCAGTTGAAACCTAATGGCTACCCATGGGATAAATTTCTTGCCATGGGTGGTGTACTTTGGTGTTGCGGGTTTTGATCTTAAGGTGAGTGATAGCCTTCCCTCTCTATTCTATTATTATAGAATAATAACTTGTACAAATGAGATCGCTGGCATACATATCTCAGGATCTTAAGTAAAAATCAGTCAAATAACGATTCTCACCTCGAAAAAATCTCCCCGGAGTCTCTAGTTCCATCGTAGGGACAATCAATGACATTTCTGCAAAAGCAATGTCTGTAGTGTTACCGAAACCCATGGTTGTTTTCCTTTCCCTCCATTAATCATACACAGATTCTCGAAGTCGAATAACCTTTGCAGAGCCGGGCAGAGTTGGCCTTCCTCTAGACCGCTTCTTCAGCGGCATCAATTTTTCAACGTTACTTGACGTTTTTCACCGTCATACATGTAAGAATTAAAAACTATTTACTGATATGGATACTACGATAGTTTGTTGTTCGCACATGATCCAAGATGGAACTTTGAAAGCCCTAATTAGTAAGATGGAAGAAGATGTCAAAGCGATTCCGCAACTACGAGGAAAATAGCGTATTTTTGATATATAAAAAATGATCCGGGTGCGCAAGGCATCTCGGTTGGAAATGGGCCTTTGAACAAACGGCATGGGGAACAAATAGTTCTGACTGCACAATCTTGGAGATTTGCAGTCTAGTCATGAATTTTGTGAGCTCTCTTTGCGAAAAGTTTTTGATGACAATTTTCCCTTACCTCGCTGAAAAAAAGGACAAAGCACGAGTATTATTTTTGAGAAAATAGTAAGTTATCGATTATCGTTGGACACCAATGAGAATTTGAAGGTACGCGCTGCAGTGTTTCTAGTTCAGCAGAAGGGTTGCTTTGGACCTGTAGTTTATTTACAGATTTAAACCCAGGATTACAAGTGGGGAAGGGGGGGGGAGTAGACGTAAACATTCACAACACTTAATACATGGTTGTTTGGTTATTCTTTGCCGTTCCTGTTCAGCTGCGATCTCATCGGTTTTCGTCTTTCTGTTCACGCGTTCGATGACTGGACAATAGTTGTTGTTGTGAATGATAAATTTACTTCACGTAATAATCCCTTGGCCGAAGAATGCGTTACAATCCATGCTAGAGCCCTTGCTAATTAAGTCCTTAATCTTCTGACACTCTCGCTATAGACTTTGTGAGTTCAATGAGACTCAAGGAGAGTATATTTCTAAGGAGGTCAGAAAAAATGCTTCTTTTTATTCGATACTTGTAGAAAAACCTGAACAATAAACCTTCGTAAAGATTACAGGGGATATTGCATGGCTGTTCGTGGATATGAATTTTATTTTCAAGCACTCATAGCTAGTAGTACGCGCGGGCAAGATAAAGCGAAGCCTATGTTCTGATTTGCTACTCGAGCCGGCAAGATGGGCCCATCTCACCCGATCGGAATTGCCTTATTGATCCTACCCAAGAAAAAAGTGCCTGGTGCAGATTTACAAAGTTCTAAGCTTTTGGAAGATGCCGGCGACAACGTCTCAAAAAGCGGCAGAACAGAGTAAAAAAAACAAAAAAAAAGCAACAACAAATTAAACGAAGTTTTGCCTGGGTTTATTGTTTATTGCTGGCTCTCTTTCCCGGCTTTCAAAATAAACAAGTCATTCTTGATTCTTGTTAAAGCGAAATATTTTTGCTTATATTAAATCTTTTATCGCCCAAGCTGGCTACATTAGACCCGAGTTCGACTTGGTCCATAAAAACGCAGAAATTTTTGAGAAAATAGTTATTTGTTGTTGATCGTGGGACACCAGCGAGAATTTGAAGGCGCGCGATAAAGTTTTTCTGGTCCAGAAGAAGGGTTACGCTGTACCTAACTTTACACCCGAGCTGAAACAGCTAAAAAACTCATGTGAATAACAACTATCTTTGAGTAGAAAGAAGCATGCTACGTCTATTTTACATGTAGGCAATAAGCCAAAGACAGCAAAGGCGAACAAAGCCTAGAAGCAAGTAAGTATGTATGGCTGCACAGAATGCAATGTAGATAAAAAATATTATACCACAACTGAAAGTTAGTCTTTCTCGAAATGTTCGCTCCTGTTTAGTAAAAGTAAACAGAAACCAGTCTCTTAATAAACACGTCAAAGTTAAACGATATGTTCATGTCAGTATTTTCGGCTTAGCGCTCGACAGTCTATGAGTGACAGTTCTCAAATGGATTGAAAATAGATATCCATTTTGGCGAGTTAACCCTTGATTGCATGGTCAAAAGAAGACGCAGTCCCTACCAGCTTTTATTTTGTAGTTCTTTCCCGTTCCTGTTCAGCTGCGCTCTTATCGGTTTTCGTCTTTCTGTTCAAGCGACCGATGACTAAACAATAGTTGTTGTTAAGAGTGATAAATTTACCTCACGTAATCGTACCATGGCCGAAGAAAGCGTTGCGCTCCACACGAGAGCCATTTCTGATCAAGTCTTGCGTTATGTTCACTCAAAGAAATATTGTTTTCCCTTGGATGTGCTTCTTACATTTACTATGATTAAACTTCAATAACTCGAATTCTAACTAAGAAATCACCGGACGAAAAAAATTCCTTGTAATTAACCATTTTCTTTTCCATACTTTTCTTTTACTTTTTTTGTTTTTGTTTATTTTTTTCATTTTTGTTTGTGGGAAATTGTGCCTCATTTACTCATTTTAAGATTACAGCAAGTAGATTAAAGCTACTTAAACATTCAACATAATAACAAAATAAAATCTTCCTTTCTAATATGTTTTGTATCAACTTAAATTCTAATTCAAACGTAGCGATGTTCGTAGATCGTGTTGATAATATCATTTACACCTTCGCCTCTCGGAACGCGTGAAAGATATTTTAAACACTAGTACTAGAAGATAGCATTCGTATCCACGGGAAGCTATGTGATATCCTCCATATATAGGCTTCAGAAAGGAATGAGACTCCCCTTTGAAATCTGTACTGAAGCAGTTTAAATATTCACCTCACCCTCTTTTCTCGCACTCAGTAAAAGCAAAAAACAAGCTATGAATAAATAAGTGAAATAAAAGTTTTTATTAGTTTCCTTTGATCAAATGTTTACCTTTTCCTGTGCACCTGTGATATGTAAATTTGCTAATTTTCCCTGTTCGGCTATGATAAAATGGAGAAAGGTGTTTGAAGTTCTAGACTTGTTAATTTATTTCACTTAGCCACGCTTTGCCGAAAACCCTCCCACCTTTTCTTGTCGAATGATAGACTGGTTTATCTTGCTCGGAATTCAACTACTCTCTCTAGTCTTAAGGTATGTTTTTTTTTTTTCGATGTTTTGCGATTTGTCTTCAGTTATAACCACTCCAAACTATAATGTAGGGGTGTTATCGGAGAAAATCATTTGAGAAATGAAATTCGACTGTTCATAAATTAGCGTGCACAGTTAGGACAGGGTGTCGTGGTGATATTTCAGTGCGTGGTCAGGTACATTTTTGTCCTGTCCTAATGCCGTGTAACATTGCGTGCAATTTTACTTGAATACCTCGAGCTGTAAGAATTAACATCGGCGAATCCGCTCACTAAACAGGTATCTTCCCTCCAGAGTATTTTTTAAGTTTTCAATAATTTTTTATCGTTACCCCTTTGCGCTGGACTATATTGAAGCCAATGCGGGTTATCAATTTCGCATTGACTTCTGATGTGTTTTGATCGGCCCTAAATTATCGGATAATGACAAACTTCTTTATTCATCGAGGGATACAAAATAATTTTTCTGTCATTACTAGTAGATAACACCTCAAAAATAAACCCTAGCTATAAAAAGAATAATTAGATGTTAATCAGAAAGAGCTAAGACTTACCACACCTGTTATGGAGCGTTTTAGATTATCACTTCACGTTTGTTCCTCCCGCTCGGGAACGAAAACAAGTTCTTTTGATCATGTGTGTTTAGCAATTCCTTGTGTAGATATTCAACATTGATTCCTGCAATTGAAGAAATCAACATTCATTTTATATTTTTTTTTCCCAAAAAAGGTCAGTTGCACGAAAATGCTTATTCTTAGGCTGTCTAGACCGATCTTTGTCGAATTCAAATTGGGAAAATTCAGGTTTTAGGTCTCTTATTCTGATTTAAATTCAGTTTCCTGTGCATCTGTGATACGGTAATTATTTCATTATTAGCGATGGTCGAAAAAAGAACGTTTCAAAAGTTTTCGACTTATTAAGTCCTTCCATATAACAATCGCATCGCCGACAACCCCCACGGCTTCTCTGGTTACAAATGAATAAAGGCTGATAGTTTCGAAAGAAACTGTTTGGGGCTGCTCGGTGGGAGTAACGAAATAATTTGGATATATCAACAAAGTTGAAATGGTAAATTGGCCACCGTCACGATTACAAAAGCTGACGTTTCGAGCGTTAGCCCTTCGCTAACCTTTGTTAGCCCTAACGCTTGAAAGGTCAGCTTTTGTAATCGTTACGGTGGCCAATTTACCATTTCAGCTTTGTTGATATATCCAAATTATTTCTCTGGTTACAGCTTGTTTCCTGTTATAAACTAGTTTAAGCAGCTCTGAATACGATTGGTGTTTCTGTTCATGAGGTCATTTCATTCCTTTTTTTAATTTTTTTCCATCGTTTTCTTTGTTTAGTATTTTCCTATTTAGCTTTCAGTAACAGCCACTTAAAAGTGTAATATTGTTGAGTAAACGAAGAAAGCAAGTTTATATGTAACGTTCAACAGTTCATCAATTGGCAAGTGGCGGTGATTAGATGGAGAACGGTTTTAGAAGTTAAAATTTGAGTCGGTGAATCAGAAATTTGCCACCGAAATATAACTCAAGAACTAGACATTGCCATTATCACTGAGCAGCGCCCTTTCTAAATACTTTTTGGACTGAGGTATTGTTTAAAACTTTTTTCTGTCGAAGGTTTCCATAGACTTCTAAGAAACAATATACATATAAATGAAACTAGCTTTGATATCGACCCAAATCAGACAAACACCTCCTGCTTGTGCCTAACACTGAAACAGCCCTCATAATTCTTCGAAATACAGTTTATTCAGATAGATTCACGGAATGCCAACTTGTAACAGCATTATGTTAGTTTCGTTAGACGTTACTGAGTTGAAAGATAATGAAAAAGATATGAACTTAGCTTTTATAATGCCTTCATCTGTAAGTGAGAAAATTTTCATTAAGAAAATGTAGTATTCTCGTTTTGCTAACATAACACCGAGGATCCCTCTCTTTGTTAATCTTTTGACACAACTTTACGCATCGTCTAAGTGTTCGGTAGCTTTTTAAAAGAAGGTTAACTTTAAAATAATTCTTCAAATAGCAACTAAGATGCACAAGTAGGCTGTTTACTGACGGCACAGATAAACGAGAGGGTGAAGAAATAATAGTTGGGGACTGAGAGATCCTGGAGACTTGAAGCCTAGTTATTGATTTTTGGAAACTCTCGTCGCCGCGAAAAAATTCTTGATAGCACAGTTTTTCCAATTTTACTTGAATACCTCGCGCTGTAAAAGCCTCGAAGATCCCGCTCACTAAGCGGCAATGTTTACCTTCAGAGTATTTTTTTTCAACAATGTCTCAATCAGATACAATGTATATATGAAGTTCATATATTTTGAACTGCGGAATTAGATACGTATGTTTCTTTCTTTACCTCTTTGGGCTGGATTCCATTGAATTTAATGCTGGGTATCAATTGCGCATTTAGTCTTGATTAATTCTGATCCGCACAAAATGATCAGATAGCGAGAAACTTTTTTATTCATCGAGAGTCCGAAAACAATTCTTCTGTCATTATTAGTAGATAACACCCCAAAAATAAACCTAGGAATGAAAAGAATAATTAGATTTTTTTCAGAAAGAGATAAGACTTATTACACCTGTCAAGGATCATTTTAAATTATCACTTCACGTCTGTTCCTTCCACTCAGGAGCAAAAACAAAAAAAATAACACTCTCGTGTTTGTTTCTTTTGATCACTGTGTTCACTTAGCAATTCCTTGTGTATATATTAAACATTTATTCTTACAATTGAAGAAACCAGCATTTATTTTAGATTTTATCCCTAGAAAGGGTCGACTGCACGAAAATGTTTATCCTTAGGCTGCCTAAACCGATCTTTGTCGACTTCAAATTTAGCGCGTTGAAAGTACGAGTCGGTAACTACTTCATTCCTATGGAAAATTCAGTTTTTCGGGTCTCTTTTTCTGGTTTGAATTCAGTTAAACCCGTTTCAGACCTAAACATGTTATTCTGGCGTGAATATAAGTTGACTACCTCTCCTGAGCACCTGTCGTGCGGTAATTATTTAATTATTCGTGATGGTCGAATGAAGACATTTTTAAAAGTTTCCGACTTATTTAGTCCTTCCACAGAACCATCGCACCGCCGACAACCTCACAGCTTTCCTCGAGACAGCTTATCTTATATCAAAAACTGGTTTAAGAAGCTCTGAACACGATTGTTGTCTCTGTTTATGTGGTAAGTTCATTCATTTTTTCAGCTTTTTTTCTATTTTTTTCTTTGTTTGGTATTTTCCTATTCCGACTTTCAGCAGTAATCCCTAAAAAGTCTAATATTGTGGCGCAAACGAAGAAAGCAATTTGAGACATAACGTTCAACAGTTCTTCGCTTGGCAAGCGGAAGTGATTAGATGGAGAATGGTTTTGGAAGTTCTCTCTTTAGAGATTAAAAATTTCAGTCGGCATGAATTTGAAATTTGCTAGCTATATACAACTCGAGGACTACACAGCAACATTATCAGTTAGCAGCGCTCTTTCTAAAATCTTTTTGGACTGAGGCATTGTGCAAAATGTTTTTTCTTTCAAAGGTTTCCAAGACTTTTAAGAAGCAATATACATATAAATAAAATTAGCTATGATATCGACCCAAGTCGGAAACAATATCTCATGCTTGTGCCCAGCATGAGGCAAACAGCCCTCATAATTCGTCGAACACAGTTTATTCAGATAGGTTCACAGAATTCGTACATGGCAGCAACAGGTTAGTTTCGTGTGTAAATTAGAAAAGAATCGAGCAATATACCATTCTACTTCAGCACTTATTTTCTTTTGTCCATTTAAATCAGGAAAAAAGTAAGCAAACGTCACAAAAATATATAAAGCCAGAAAACACTGCATCATTCACTGATAAAAAAAAGAAAAACTTCTCTTCATTTATAGATCGTTTCGTGGAGTAAAATTTCAGTGGAAATTTAATGGCTACCAACAGAAGCAACATTACCCTTGAGAAAACGAACGAAGAAGATTGGACGCCTGTTCCTGCTTCCCACTGCATTTCATGGCTTGTTGTGTTCGGCATTGAATGTTTGGCGGTAGTCATTCTCAATGCTATTACATTTATTGTATTCGTAAAGCAGCGTCAGCTACATAGGAAGAGTACCTACTTGATCATCAATCTTGCCATAGTCGATTTCTTTGTCGGGGCGGTTAATGGGCCTTTACTTATTGAGCTCTTTGGGAGCAGTTTCTGTGATCTTTGGGAATCCGTCAGGCCTGATAGTTTCTGGTTACTCATATCAGAAATTTCCCTTGGGCATAATATTTATAAAAACTCGTTTCTTAATCTCGCTTTTATTTCATTAGAACGAGCACATGCAACGTTTCGTCCGTTCAAGCATCGTTTTGTTGAGAAATGGGTTTATGGAGTGATGATATCAGTCACTTGGTTAGTTCCTGTAGTCATGACGGCTACATATTATGGACTGTTGATCAGGTTTCACCTCGGCGCTAAAATAATTTCTGCGTACTTCTCATATTTCTCTATTCATCTTTTTGTAATATTTGTATGTTATGTTTCTATTTTTATAAAAGTTCGTCGTCGTCGTCTTCCTCGACATCATGGTGCAGCAAGTCTGAGGGAAAGAAAACTGACGAGTACATTGTTTCTTATCACCTTTGAATCGTTGCTAACTTTACTGCCAGGGGTGGTATACTATGGTCTGGAGTCTTTTAATTCTAAGCTAAGACTTGCCTTTAGTAATCCTATCTATATTTACATGGTATTATCTACACTTAACGTGTTAAACTCACTGATAAATCCTATAACTTACGCCATAGTGATGCCAGAACTAAGAGCAGGCATATTACAAATAATATTTCGCCGGGCTCCGCGCGGCTCAAATGCGGTCAACATTCCACTTCAAGATCGTTCATTTATATGTTGAAAGAAAGAAAGAAAAATGATGGAAAGAAAGCGAGGGTTGGTTTTTTATTATTCTTTTTTCATTATAATTTCACTCAAATTGACCGGCAAGAACAGCACAGTTGAAGCAAAAGAGGAAAATTTTACTACGCTTCAATATAAAGAAGGCTTCTTTATATTGCTAACACAGGTCTATGGTATCAAATGAGTTTTGATGATGATTGGGCTGTAATAATGAAATAGCTGTGTAACTTGTAATTCGAATAATTAAAAAAAATGCACTTTGATTGATCTGGGCTCTATGAAAATGTTTTGCGCTAAGGCACAACACAATTAAAGGTCTTTGCCTGGATCAGTGATTATTTTATTTCAATACTGTTGTTTCCATGTAGACCTCCTGCCACTGTTGTAACGGAAACTGAAATTAAACTGATTGTTTTAATATTAGATTATTAGAGAGAGAAAAATTAAAACTTTACCTTGTCATTTTTTGTAGTTTTATATTTTTGTATATGTTTTGTTTCGTTTCTGGCTGTTTATCTGCACATTTTCAGCACAATGCAATCATTCCGAAGAAGTAAAAAGAAAAAGAAACAAAAATTATCGTTCATTACTTTGGGTGATGATCTCGCTGACCAATCAATCAATGATCTGCCATCAAGTCCATTAACGACTTTAGATAAGAATTTATTTTAATACAACTCGAGACTGCGATATCATCGAGAGCAATGATTCTGAATACTTTTTGAATGGTATTCTTTGATACTTGAAATGACTGACTGCACAATACTTTCTTCAATAGTTGAAAGTCAGCCGTCGTTGTTATAAGGTAAAAAAAAAAGCTCATTCGGAAATTTTCGGTAACTTTAGCGTGACATGGATGGTTTACCCCATAGGCGTACGGGCACCTTTGGACTTTGGGGGTCGGTGACTTCCTTGCCCGAAAAAACTACGCAATGTCCGAAAGGGTGAGGGTTGAAATCGGGATGCAAACGCAGACGTTCACCATTTTCCCATCTAATGAAACTGCTTTCATTGGAAAAATAGCTCAATTGAAAGTTTGCTTACATAATTCTACGAACAGTCTCAATGTTATCTGACAGTTATTAAATGAAAAAATTCTTCCTTCCATGGCGTTGTCCGAAAATGTCAATCATCTTGTCCATACTGTTGACAATGACTTGATTTCTATAGGCGCTCTCAATACAGATGATAGCGAGGCTTCTGAGTCTATGCTGCCCCATGGTGTTACGAAGGTAAGTCTTCAACCGCCGGAGTCTGCTGAACGAACGTTCCGCTGAGCATGATGTTGTGGGAATGATGGCCAAAATGAACGCCACCTTCGAGCGCTCTGGTGTAATTTCGCAAAGGCTGTTTTCATGCAATACGTCAATGACTTCTACCGCTGTCTTAATTGATTTTTCCAGATGTGTTTTTTTAAATCGATTAAACAGGTGTTCGTCTGCCTGAAGTAGCTCCTTGTCGAAATCATAGTAACCAGCAATTAGGTCAAAGCTACCCCTGGAAGGGCAATCACTTAGAGTGACGTCTCCTAACGCACATAGAACATCTTGGTCATTTCCACTGCACCGATTCTCAATTTCGGCCAGGACCTTATCCAGAGAGGCGAAAAAGGTGTTGACTTTATGGTAATGCTCTGGTTTCGATGGCGGAACAGGAACCCTGGCGTTTTGGTTTTTCCCAACTAACGCCTGTAAACGCGTTGAGGGTTGTCGTGGCGCACGAGCATCGCGGAATCAAGTATCTGATTCAGTAATCCAGGATTTCATCTTAACGCTAATACTTTCACTAATTTTCCAGACTAGGCAAAGTTCTCATCATTTCGGCAGCTTCGTAAGGTATCCAAGCTTTGATTGGCATTCCGTCTTGCCGCAATAACATCCAGAGTCTTTCCCTGAAGGTAAGTACTCAGGCTGCTCGTATTTAATAAAATAATCTTTAAAACACACAGGCCAAAGACGAACTGGAAATCACAGATTCCATGCAAAAGTGAGCGACTTTCGGAGCATGTTTTAGGATCCCTGTTGGTGGATAATACTAGCAATGCCTTCATTATTCGCTCAAGTTGTTGAACGACGGTTTTCACCGCTTCCCATTGACATGACCATCTTGTTACACTTTGAGACTTCAAAGTAGTAAGCTAGCTACATTCTTCAGTCTTAATGTCTCCAAGCAAAGCGTGCCTCTTTTAGGCTAGCCTCTAGAAAATTGTACAGGCTCTGGATTGTGCTTAGAGTATGTCGCAATGGTTCCACTGTTGTCATGGTGTCTTGCAGTGCCAAATTTAACAAGTGGCCATAGTAGTGCACATATATTGCAAGCGGAGAGCACTCTTTCATTCGCGCACTGAGTCCCTTATTTATACCACTCATGTTACTTGTACCGTCAAAGCATTCACTCACGATATTCTCGAGCTGTAACTGCAGCTTGTTGATAAATTCTTTGACTAGTTTGNGGGTATCCAAAATTTAATTGGCATTCCGTCTTGCCGCAATAACATCCAGAGTCTTTCCCTGAAGGTAAGTACTCAGGCTGCTCGTATTTAATAAAATAATCTTTAAAACACACAGGCCAAAGACGAACTGGAAATCACAAATTCCATGCAAAAGTGAGCGACTTTCGGAGCATGTTTTAGCATCCCTGTTGGTTGATAATACGAGCAATGCCTTCATTATTCGCTCAAGCTGTTGAACGACAGTTTTCACCGCTTCCCATTGACATGACCATCTTGTTACACTTTGAGACTTCAAAGTAGTAAGCTAGCTACATTCTTCAGTCTTAATGTCTCCAAGCAAAGCGTGCCTCGTTTAGGCTAGCCTCTAGAAAATTGTACAGGCTCTGGATTGTACCTAGAGTATTTCGCAATGGTTCCACTGTTGTCATGGTGTCTTGCAGTGCCAAATTTAGCAAGTGACCATAGTAGTGCACATATATTGCAAGCGGAGAGCACTCTTTCATTCGCGCACTGAGTCCCTTATTTATACCTCTCATGTTACTTGTACCGTCAAAGCATTCACTCACGATATTCTCGAGCTCTAACTGCAGCTTGTTGATAAATTCTTTGACTAGTTTGTAAAGAGTTTCACCATCTGTTGTTTTCGTCGCATGAAATCCAACAAATGCCTCTTTCTTACTCCCGTTCGCTATATAGCTGAGACAAATGACACTTGTTCGTCTCTGTTTATATCAGACGTTTCATCACTTATAATCCCGTACCGACCGCTCTTTCTTACATCCTTACAGGAGGGGGCATTGGAGTCTATTAGAAACCGCAAAACCGTAGAAAAAAAATCATCCAAACCCGAAAAACCGAAACAAAAATCGACCTAAACCAAAAACCGCATATAAAACTGTAAAAAACCAATACATTTTCACATCCCAGCCATTAAAAAACCTGATCGATCCGATACAGTGGTGACAATAGGAGCATACAGAGTAAACTTCACTAATTTTATTACAGTATTTGTGAATGCTATGGACTTGGCGTTCGTATCTTCTAGCATCTGCTTAAATCATAGGCTTTATTTCAGCTGCTCTGTCGAGGTCCAATAAGACTGAATCGCCTTGAAACGCTCTTTTTTTTCTTTTTCTTTGCTTCCCCGCCATGGGACAGACGCTCATGGTAGCTAGTCATGATCTTCCTCACCGATCTCGAATTTCCGATTTATCATAGGTGTAGATATCGCGTAATCTAAGTGTATAAGGACTGTAAGTCTTCCTTGTCTGAATCGTCCTAAACGAGCCATATATTATATATATAGCAGGGGCGTAGCGTGAGATTTCGAAGGTGTACGCACAGCGCGGAAATTGGGAGCGCAGGAGGCGCCCCAAACTAAGAGGTACTGGAAGCATGCTACCCCAGAAAATTTTGAAATTTAAGGTCTCGGAAATGCCATTTCGAACT